CCCTACCGATTTGCGAGCTTGTTGATATTTCTACAAAGGCTATACACTTTGGAATTTTTCATCGTTTGCTTGACAAGATGAGTCCGAGTGATATTTATACTCATCTCGAAAAGGAGTATCGGAATGTAAATTAGTGATTATAAGGTTGTATTATATGGCATGTAATGCCATTAGTTATGTATAAATTAATAATGAGTGAACTAGATTAGTTAGATGTCTTAGTTTGTTAGTTACTGGCTAACGTTTCGGTATATAGGAGAGAATAAGTTGTATTTTCTTTTGTAAATTGTATCATTCACCAAAAACAAAATTTCATCCAAATTTCTCCTCATTTTTTTAACACAACCAATCCCAACATTATAAGGCCTAATCCATGAATTATCATCGAGTTAACTTAGCCTAAACTCAAAATTATAACTATCAAATATTCCAATTAGAAAACCCAACATTGAATTTAATATCCAAGTTTTTCAATTTAGAAACAAACCCTTAGCTTTGATCAATAGTTTAGGAATATTAAGATTTTCGAGTCCCATTGTATGTTATTTTTGTGCCAAATCGAACATGACGAGTTTAAAAAAAAAAGGTTGTGAAAAGAGAAATTGAAATTGGTGGAGAGCCGTGGTGTATGTGGTAGAGGTGGAGCTTCTTTAATGAAAGATGGTTAAGGTTTTCTCGGTTTAGAAATACAATTTTTTTTTTAGGAGAAAATTGGAGTTGGATTAGTTTAGGTTTGATAATTTTTTTTCATATAAAAATATGATTTTTGTTTCATTCAATTTGGGATGATCATTTTTGCTTTTGTTTTTTTTTGGGCTCAATTTTTTTTTCATCTCCTTCTTCGTGCCATCCAATACAACATTTCGGGGAGTCTACACATTTGAATGCCACGTGGGATGTTGCCAAACGCCAACATTATCGCCGACAACATCCCAATCACTACCCATGAAATATATAACCCTAACCGCTTTATGAGTTCGACTATCGACAACATTGGGTTGAGTTGGTTCACCTTTTGTATCTTCACTTTTGGGTCGAGGTCGAGTTGAGACGTTAGTAATATTATTAATTCCCAAAACAAAGAGCAACATCGACATGCATTTTATATTTATTTGTATATCATATAAAACACTAAACAACATAAGAATGTAAAATATGCTTTTTAAATCCCTCATGATCCGCATAATACATTACTAGTATTTTTTTTTACCATTAAAATTCTGTGTTATTTAGTAATCGGGAATAGAGTGATGAGAATGAGAATGCAGGAATCGAAATGACATTTATATTTCCATGCTATATTTGGAATACTAACGAGGAATCGAAATACAATTTAAATTTTTTAATATATGATTTTTTATATAAATAAAAATAATAATTAAAAAAATAATTTTATCAAACTATAATAATTGTAAAGATAATAAAAATGATGGTGATGATTATGACAATGGTGGTTCTAGTTGTGTGGTGTTAGGGTTAGTGGTTACGATAGTGATTGTGGTGGTGGTGACGGTGGTGGTGGTAGTGATGGTGGTGGTTGTGTTGGTGGTGATGGTGGTGGTGATAAAAGTAATTAATAGACAATAAATAAATAAAATATATTATTATTTTGAAAAAAAATTCATTTTCATTCTTTATTTTTATTCCCATATTTTATGTGAGATGAAGTTGTATGTAAATTTTCATTTTCATTCCCACTTCATTCATTTTAAACAAACGACTACAATGTGAAAATAAAATTTCATTCATATTTCCATCATTTTATTCTTGATTACCAAATAACACCTAAAACAACTTCAAAAACCAATAAAAATTCTAAAACAATATTCAGAATTCTTCAAACCACTAAATTGTATCCTTTTTGTTACTTCATTATTATTGTTATTACTACTACTACCATCGGAGATCCTTGGCTAGTGTCTTATGCCACTTTTGGCTTCCTTGGATTTGTAAGCTTTTATTATTGCTTTTGGGAAATTAAACTCGTATTAAAAATGATTTTATAAAAAAATCTTAAACTTTTTATTCGTAGTATTCATGCTCGTATCATCGTGGTACTATATACATATATATTTTAATATAAAGCTAATGCTAATACTATCATACCAACTTCTTTTTTCCCCCACATCGTGCAACTTATACCGTCCGAATGGATTTTATTTAAACAAATAATCTTTTAGACTAGAATTCACTAACATTGATTATTATAGGAGAAAACATTGAAATTTGGCAATACCAAATAAGACATGCAATGATTTGTCAATTTTTTTTAACTATTAACTATTTGTTACGTGGTAAGATGAAAAATGGATTTTCTTAAATGTGCCGGTTCAAATATCAACTAGTTCGGACCAAAAGGTCAAGCCAAGTAGTCATTTTTCTAATTAGTAATTACCATTCCTTCATCTCCAATGGCCATCACTTCTATATGAAACATGCTAATTATTATTATTTTTTTAATGCTGCAATATTCCTCGTGATAAAAAAAATTATTTGCATTCACAGTAATTATATATAACCACTTTTTCATATAAAAAAAGCTAAAAATGTTAATTTTTTCCTTAACCTTAGTTTATTTAAAAATCAATTTCTGAACTGTTTTAATCTATTTGAATTCTTCTTCTTCTTTTTTTTTTTATAAAAAATTTAGTCTATTTTATGATTTTTAGTTATCTTTCATTTTTTTTTAAAAAAATTTAATTTTTGATATTTTAAACTAAAATTTTTCACATGTGCTTGGAAAAAACTATTCTATTTCCTGCAAAGATCTTAGAATTTTTCAAAAGTCGAAAAGTATGTTTGTTTATCTTTTAAAAATTAAAAAAACATAGAAAATAAAACAAATAAAAAATAACCTGTGATGTTCTCTAATTTTTTGGAGAGTCCTTGATAAATTTTATAAACGATTTCTATCATTGGCTAATCATGTTTTTTTTTTTTTTTACTAAATGATTGAAAACTAAGGATGTACTAAATCTCAAGAATAAATAAATAAATAAAATCCAGGAAGGTGAAATCTAAAGTTAGAAAGTTTAAAAACTAAATTTTCAATAAATTAAAGTTTATGGAAGATTTTGTCCTTTTAACCAAAAAAAAAAAAAGAAAAGAAAAGAAGCGGCACTCGTTCAAAGAATATACGTATAATTTGTGTTGATGTAAAAATCTAATTTTCTCAAATGAGTTATATGTAGGCATCTGAAAAACCAGAAAAATCAATCTGTTAGTTGAGAATGCTCTCTCTCTCTCTCTAGCGTAAATATCGAGACCGACATCCAAGAAAATTCATTAAACTAGTTTCTTGACGCTTAATTTGCACGTGTATTGTTTAACCTGCCTTTTCCCCCCCCTAATTTGCAATAGACTTTTTAATTATTTTTTATAAATGAATATATTTGAATGTTTATTCAATAAACACGTTTTATTTTCAAATGATTATATATATAATAATTTTTAATTAATTTTTGAATCATGTGATAAATTTTATAATTATACTTAATAAAAAACAGAGACACAATTGAAATACTAAAATATTAATAATTATTATTTTGGATAAATATATATAATTTTTTAAAATAATAATTACTTAAAAAATTCACCTAACCTTATTTTTAGCATGGACTTTTTTTTATTTTCAATTATTATTTTTTGAATTGTATGTGACATGATTATAAATTAACAATACATGCATTAATAAAATTTTTCAAATAAACACGTTTGATATATATATATATATATATATATATATATATATATATATATATATATATATATATTTGAACCATATGATATAATTTTATAATTGTACTGAATTAAAATCAGGGACACAAACAATACTAAAAAAATAATAATTAGCAGTTAGGATAAATATATATAACTTTTAAAAGCAATAATCACTAACAATTTTTTACTTAACATTATTTTAGTATGCTCCCTTTTATTTTCAAATACATGTGACGTGATTATAAATTAACAATACAAACATGAATAAAAATTTTATAATTTATTTTTAAATAAATCTTGCTAAAATAATGTAAGAAAATAACATATAAAAAACTAATTAAGGATTGAATTTAACATCTAATGAATTTTGATGTAGTCTATTTTTATTTTATTTTCATACTTTATGTTTTTTATTGGCTTGTTTTTAAGTCTTTTTAGAGTTTTATAATCAAAATAAAATATTTTAGGAATGAGATTAGTAGCTTATGTCATGTTATGTTATTTAGAGTTTTAAGTAAAAAAATAACGAAAAAGGAAATTGATCTATATTTTAGGATTAATTAAAAAAATAGTGTATTTTTTAGAAACTAATAATATCAGTATATAATTTTATCAATACAGGGATTTTTCTTAACTAGAACTGAATTGAATATATTATAATATTAGTATTATATTAAAAATATAATAATCAATCAATTTTTTTATATAATTCTTATCGTCCAATGAAAGATTTATTATTTATTGAAGCACACACTACTCAAAAAATAAAAAATTATAGGCTCTCGACCCAAACTAATTGGGAAATTAATCATAGCCCCTTCATTTTTATCTTCGGCGAGACGGTGGGTATACATAGAATATACGTCAAACGGCAGACTAACAATTACAATATTTATCTCTACCTTTAAAAACCACGCCCCTGCCTTAACCCCGGAAATTAAAATCCCGGGGGTTTTGTTTCCATGAAACCCCAGAATCCCACAATTTCCCCCCACTTTCCCGAGCAAATCTTAAACCTTCCGCATTTACTTATCATCATCATCATCTCTGAATTTCAATTGCCTCTTAAACCCTCAAACTTAGGGTTTGTGTTTTGAGAATCCTAGATTTTCAACAATTGTCTTTTTGCAGGCGTTTTTATAGCCGCAGAAATAATTAGGGTTTTTGATTATTTGATTGATTGAAAGAAATGGGAAGCGTGGATCAAACATTTAGGGTTAATTTCAGTGGAGATGGAGCCGCTTTGTTGAGAGAGAGTTAACGAGAAGCTTAAGGAGTTTATGGGCGATTACACTGACGATGTTCTTGTGGTACGCATATATGAATAATAAATAAATTTCGTTGTTGTTGTATTTCTGATATTTTGAATTTCGTATTTTAGTGAGCTTTTTCCGTAGGGTTTAATTTGACTGGCTAATTTTGGAGTTTGGATATCGTGCTATTGTTTATTTATTTTTATGAAATGATGGGGTTCATTTTATCCTGACTAGTTTGGGATTGAGTTTTAGCTATAAGTTGAATTGAGTTTATGCTGTTTATTCGACGGACTGGTTTAGGAGAATTATTTGTGGAATTTCAATATGTAATTTTGCATGCAATGGGGAATACTGTTGCTGGGCCTACATTAATAGATGTAAAAATGGCAAGAGTTAGAATCTGCCAGAGCTCTTAATTGTTTATGTCACTGGTTATGTGGAGAATCATAGTGAGATTATTTGTGACAGCATGATGGTGAGGAGATAAATGGTGCAATTGGAGTCAAGAATTGTTTGCTTTTGAGCCGGAGAATATTCAAAATTGTGTGATGGAGGGAGATGTGCCAATTAGTTATCACACTGGCCTCATTTTTTCGCGTCTGTAGTTTGTCTGAATGCTGTTTAACCCTCTAGGTCTTTTTAGAGACTTTGCATTTTGGAAATTCATTTGAGGCTATTATGATGTTCAATTTCTTGTTGATGGTTGATATCTTACCACTGAATGGAACTCTGTGGGTAGATTGCGTATATAGTTTATTTGCAATTACATGTTTGATTTCCTCATGTGGCCGCAGGTTAATGAACTTGAATACCATGCAGTAAAGAAGTAAATCCAGGAAATTGGCTTAGGTCTAGATTGTGGGAACTTTTAAGGTTTTGCTGAAAGATAAGATTCAAATGAATGGCTGTGCAAATGATAGTGCATTGTCTCACAGGGGTTGAACATGCTGCATAGTTATTGGAATTCTGTACCATATTGAGAAGTTAGCACAGACAGTATGTTATGTATGGATATGAAAAAATAAGACAAGGCAAGGCAAATCAAAACCTTGCTGGGTTTAGAATCTGCACTTGAGATTATTTTGAGCTGCTTGGGCTTATTCATATGGATTGCTCAGTTATTTGAGTGGGCTCTATCAAGTGAGCTGGAATTTAGCTGGAGAATGGGGTGTTATGAATTGGTTTTTTGTATCATGTTGAGCTCATTGGTGCTCAGGGATACGTGGGATTTGAATTTAGACTGGACATGGAGTTCTGAATCAGTTCTTTTTCAAAAAAAATACCAGGATACTTTTGCTTTTATTTATTTTTTTGGGTTATTTGATTACGGGGCTAATTTTCTCAAATTGGTTTAGTTTTGGGTAGTAGGTCAGGATTATGTACAGTTTGAGCTGCACTCAAGCTTGTAGTGGGAAGCCAATGTGCTTATGTATTTTTGAGTTGATGATATATGTTGTGGGGCATGCTTTGAGAGATTCTGTGATATAGGTTGAGAATACGAAAACCGTAGAAAACAGCACCTACAACTGAAAAATGGCTAAAATATGAATAAAATTGAACCTGGAATAAGATCATAAGGTTTAGGGTTCAACAAGAAACCTCTAAAATCTGAATAGATTGATAAATAAAAAGATAATCCTAGCAGCCTATTTATACCAGTTAAAGCACGAAGGTCTTTGTAGGGAAAGGACTCACTAGTCTTATTCACAATGCAACAAAACTTAACCTCCAAGGAAATATTTTAAAAGCCAAATGCTAAGACTCTTAACAAATTTATTAATAATTTTTAAAACAAAACTAATTTTAAGACTGCTCCTGTGTTATTTTGTGCAATTTGATCTTTAAATTTGAGTAGCTTTCTACTACCTTTATCTGTCTTTCTATATTGTTTGTAAAGGTTTAATCCAAAAAGTTCTACCCAATGTGGGTTCTAGACATCAAATATTTGTTTCCATAGTGATGTTCTTTTGTTATGGATACTGTGTCTAGCATGTGAAAGTCCTGTTAGTTATTAGCTGAGTCTTAAAAGCTTACTTATAACATGCTTGTACATTTATATTATCATAATATTCCATTGTTCAGTAGAGGATTTGATAAGTTTCTCTTCCATGCTTGAAAAAAAATAAATGTTTTGAGTTTCTAAGTGATTCAGCACCACAATTTTTCATAGAGTTTTGCCTTGGCAGGAATATGTAATTGTTTTGCTGAGGAATGGCAGGGATAAAGAAGGAGCAAGAAATGAATTGAATGTTTTTTTGGGGGATGACAGCGATTCTTTTGTATCTTGGTAATTTGATTCACATTCCAGTAATTGACGCATTTGATATTGTAGAAAATATATTGTGCACAACTCTGTTTGAAGTTGTGACCCATTCGTATTAATAGATAACTTCATTTTTGAGCAGGCTGTGGGATCACCTGGCTACAAATATGGATTTGTATGTACAACCTCAGGAGACATGTACAGATGAAGTGGCCAGAACAAATCCCACACGGGGAGAACATACCGTGGGGAGCGAATCTCATCATATGGATTCTGAACTTGAAAAGGTGAAGCCTGATAATTTATCTAGAGGCCGGCATAAAAAAGAATGGAAAGGTGTAGTGAGAGACGTGAACTACCCGACCCCTCTTCGAAGCTCCGTGGTTGATACTATTCATCAGGAGGAAAAAACTCATCGCAAAGTCAGTCGTGCAAGAAGATCTCCGTCTCCCCAACCCACACAGCAGAAGAAAAGGAGTCGGCATGATGCAGGACAACATGTGAAGGTCTGGACTTCTAGTTTTTCTTTCGCATTTGATCAAGAAGTAAGGAATAAAAATTAGATATGTGTATTTTATTTTATGGCCATTAACAGGGTGTTTGGAAAGTCAAGAATGGAAATTAGGAGCTGTTTGATATAAACTAATGCTCCCAAAATCATAATAAAACTCTACAACTATTCATGTTTTGATGGAACTTATTTATGACTCTGCTTTGCTTACGAACTTGATGCACAATTTTCTATCTTTGCACAGCCTATAAAACTACAGTAACGCAGCTTCTATTTCACACTATGCTGCACAGGGCTCCACATCATGAAAAAACTTAAATTGTTAAAAGTGAACGTACACAAAGCAGATTAAATAATTCCCTGTGGTTCTTACCTGGGAATTATGCTTTTTAACTAAAATTTGAAGGATGCATGATGTGTTATTGCTGGTGGTAGGGCTACCAATAGACATGCCTACTCATCTGATTTTGAATACAAGATACCATTATGCTGCAAATCTTAATATAATTTCAGAACTTAAGCTCATTTTTCTTTATGAAAATAAGTGCCTTGTTTGTTAATCATTGAATTTCGCATCCGCTAATAAGCTTTTTAGCAGAGGGACGCAGTTTCTCAAGCAACCAGTGGTGCTCCTCGACGACTACTTCAGTTTGCAGTGAGAGATGCTGTCGGAACTTTGAGACCATCTGGCATGGGAAAAGAACCCTCGCTGAAGCGTCTTCGCTCAGTGGTGTCTACATCTACTGAAGACATGTCATTGTTTGATCATCCTAGGAGGCTCCAGTCAATTGCAAGAGTTCCAAACCCAATGGCTACTGTATTAAAAGCTGTTCGAGAAGCTGCTGAAGATGTAGTAAAAGTTAAATCTGCAGGAAGTGTGTTTGACCGCCTTGGTCGTGATATGGATGCATCATTGACCACTGAACCAGTCACACAATTTCGAGATGCTGCTGTCGAAGATGGTGAATATGAAGAATTTAATGAAATTAAGGAACAAACCCACTCAAACTATCTTCAAAGAAGTGAGTATTGTGGACATGCAGGGGCTTTGAGTATGATGGGGCATGAAGCTGGATTGACTTTTGATTCGATGTCTGGCAATGAAGGTTATGATGATGCCAATGTTGTGGATCATAGGGTTATGGATGTTTCTCAAACTGGCACATTGTACAGTAGTAAGGGTGAGGATTCACTCATGTCAAAATACAATGTAGCTAAGGATCAGGATCAATCTGTTTCAGCTGCAAACATTTCTCGTAAGATAGGAAGTATTTCTGTGAATGTAAATACATGGAGACCACCTCATTATCAAGAATCCAGGGATGCTGTAATGGATAATCGGAAATCGGTTCAGGATAATGAGGCGGATGCTGGGAGATTTGGTGCTAAGCGAACAAAGGAGGTTAGCAACCCTGTCTCAGTTGGTAATGGAAATGTAAGATGGTCTTGTTTGTCTGGGTTCTTTATTCTTCTTGCTATTTCTCTTATGAAATACTTGTTATTCCTTCTTTACATTGACTGATGACACTGTTTATATGGCGTGGTTATGAACAGGCAAAGCCTGCTGGTGATATTCAGCAAGAACCTCAGAAACCTCCATCATCTGCATCCGGTCAGTTCTATCTATAGTACCTTCTAAGTGTCACTGAATCTGTTGTTTTAATCTGAAATGAAATCAAATTTATGTTAGTGATGTTGCAACTTATGGAGTTACCCTTTTGGGTGTTTCACATGGCGGACATCATCTCAAACTCCTCCATGGCAAGATGGTTGCCATTCTGATATGCATCTTGTTTGTTTTTTATGGCCATTTGTTTCATATTTAAATGAGGTTGTTTTGGATGATTCTGCAGGTTCATATGCTGCAGGTCGTCCCTTAGAGGATGCTGATTCTCGAACCATTTTTGTTAACAATGTAAGGACTGATGTGCATCAAGCTATAGTTTAGAAGGATTGTTTATCACTGTATCCTGATAATATTTTCATTGCTGTTTCACAGGTTCATTTTGCTGCGACTAAGGACAGTCTGTCTCGGCATTTTAATAAGTTTGGTGAAGTACTTAAAGTGGTTATAGTAACTGATGCTGCAACAGGGCAACCAACAGGGTGAGTTGTTTAACACACTTCAGATCTGTTTCCTTAGCAATTCTGGCAATCTTTTTTTCCGGGGGGACTAAGTCGGTATGATTATGCAGGTCAGCTTATGTGGAATTTATGCGCAAAGAGGCAGCAGACAATGCATTATCTCTTGATGGCACCTCGTTTATGTCACGTATTCTCAAGGTGATGAACATAGTGACTGCATCTTAATTAGAAGTAGTGGCCTTTTCTGTTCTGGTGTGTGTGTGTTTTGGTTGCATGCATGTCTTCAAGTTGAGCAGTATGTTCTGTGCATTTTCCTTTTTATTTTTCCAAACTTTTGTTTATAGGTTTTGTAGATAGCTGAAGTTGCCAAAATCTGAAAAAGTTAAATCAATGTTTGCATCAGCTGAAAGATAAGTTTTATTGTGTTTAACACTAAAAAGCGAACCACACTCACTTGCTTTTGCTCCTCATCAGATGTGACTTAGAAGTTGTTTTGCAAGTTTTCTTGTAGCCACCTTGGTATGCTTGCTCTCTCACGTGTGTGAGTGCTTGCATGTGCCTGTGTGCATGCGTGCATTCGTAATTGAAAAGTATTTCAATTGCACACGGAATGACTCCATGATGGAAAGTTGTTGAGATTTGTTCAGTTATATATATTTTTAAAAGCCTCAGTTCTTTTACAAGCATAAATTGAGATGTCAAGTTTGAGCTCTTCTGATATTTTGGGAGTTGTCAATGATTTGAACAGGTTTGTTCTCGCAAATGAGAATTGTGTGATGTTGTTTCACAGAAATCACGTGGTCCAAGTGTGTACCGTCACGCATGCCGTTTTGTAGATGAAGCATTAAAACTGCTGTTTTCAATTCTCATTGATAACAACGAAGCATCTTATTTTCTATGCAGAGCGATTAGAACTCAAGCATGCTTTCGTTTTAAATTGAAAAGATGGCAGTTAGGATTTAGCTTTGACGTGCAATTTTTGGAACCAATGCACAATTTATTACTGTTTTAGGGGTCTGCTCCAAGATTTGATAGGCATCTTAACATTGTTTTTGTTCTGCAGGTCACAAAGAGAAGTTCATCCAACCAAGAAGCTAGTCCTCTTATGACATGGCCGCGAATTGCCCGTGGCTCTCCATATGCTGCGGGTAGGTTTGCTAGGGTGTCTTTTCCAAGAGGCACTCCTGCTACATTCAGGCCTCGCCTCCATGTGAAACCGGGTGCAAGAAGTTTGCAGTGGAAGCGAGATGCTCAGGTCCCACTGGCTGAGAGTAGTGCTGCAGTTTCTGGCAGCATTGTTGTCTCCCCTCTGCCCGCAGCCTCACCTATGTCCGAACAGAAACAAAACCAGATGGGAATTCTGGTACCACTTGAGTTTGACAGCTTATGTTTTCTTTTCCCCAAACATCCATATTATGAGCGTAACAGGTTGCATTGAAATGCCTGAATCATGACTGCGGCAAACTTTTTGGTTCTAGGAAAGAGATGAATCCACAGATCCTCATCCTCAGATTATGATCTTTCTGTACATGGAGGGCATTTGCTAAAAATTTGGCAAATATCTGAAGTGTAGTGACTAGGGAGGGTTTCGTTTAGCAAAATTTTTGGGGTTTTTTTTTGGAGGGGCTGGAGTTTACTGGATCTGAATGGGAAAACACCAGGGACTCTGACAAAGTTGTCCTCTCCTGAGTTATATATACCGTTAGATTGAATTTTGTGAATAGGATGGATGGATAGTTGATGCCTTTGTTATGAGGGATTTTATTTTGTTCAGTTTTTTTTTTGTTCAAAAAAAAAAAAATGAGAGGAGAACCGAAAAAAAAGAGAACAAGTTAAAAAAATGAATTCAGTAAGTTGTCTAGCAAATGCAAAGTAAAGTCTTTACTATTATTGTAGCATGTTGATCTTCTCTTCAATACTTTCGTCACGAGAAGGAAATGGGTGAGGGATCTTTGTTGCCTTGCTTTTGGGCGATACTTGCAGATCTTTTACATTCGTTAGTAAAAATATTTCCAAGGTTTCTACGCAGGGAAGTGAGATGTATTTTAAATTTTTTTCTTGGTTGTATCCTTTTTCATCGCATGCTAACTACGATGTGGCGACCGGCGAGTACTGGGAGCTGTTGTAACCCTAAAGTTCGCAGGACTGGTGTTTTTGGGTTTTCGAATTACAAAAGAGGAAATTATCCATTAAATCAAACCTGGTCTAGGAAGCCATCTGCATGAAGCAGATCACAAAAACCCTCAGGTAGGGAAATAAACCTGCTATAAAAGCCCCTAATATAATTCGTTGCAAGGGCCTATTAAGTTCTTAGATCGCTGATTAAATAGCCAATAACAACAGTACTGAGGTAGGTGTCTTTCTGATCTCTTGGGTAGCTCTTATTAGGCACTCTCCACATTAACCGACGATAACACCAAATCCATTGCAACGGATGGTTCAAAAAAATTGCATTTGGCTTTACCTCCACTTTTGCTTCGAGATCCGATTATATGATGCAGCAACCAAGCCTACGCCAAATTTATAGTTTCGTTCGGTATTTATTTTGAACAATTTCTTCCTCGGGTTTTCATGCAAGGTTGTTTGGCGACGGATGTTTTGCCCCACAAAAACATTCTCCTTCTGGTGGTATTTTTTGAGCAGGGAACAAACTCGTTGCATCAAGGAGACTGGCCTTGGTGTTTTGTTTTGGTACATCCATCCATTTCGTTTTCTCCAAATACCCCAAAGGATCATACACCCGATAGGGCACGTTGATGACCATTGATCCATTATGTCTCCATGATCCACATTCCACCAGATTCCAATGGATCATGTTAGGAGAGATCTGCAAGGGCAGGGACAGATTCTGTAATCACATTCTCAAAGCAAGAATTCCCCATAGATGACGGCTTTAACGTTTCTGTTTCGCTCCTCTCCAAGTTTTTCTTGGTTGGCAAAACATCTCCTACTCTTGGAAGGAAGTTTCTTCTTGGATGGTTGTATAGAACACTTTAGAATTGACATGCAAAGTGTGTTTTAGCTTAGAACACTTCAAATTTTCTGGTCAGTGTTGAGATTCAAATTTAGCACATAAACCTTGTTTGCAAGTAAAACTTAACAATTACCATAAATGTCACGATGTTATTGGAATCAACAATTCACAGATGATACTGGTTTCTAGCAAATTTAAATGAATGTAGCCTATATAGATACCATTAAAGTATAGGTATCACTGGCAGTTTAAAGATTATTTCTGCATCGTAGAAGAAAACCCCTGAAAACCCAGAAAAGACGAACCCTTTCTTAGCAAACTATAGGTATTGGAGGATGCAAGAAATCATGGTCCAATGTTAGAAAACTATCAGCATCATGCCTTCGGAGACAAAGCATCACTAGGTGTTCCAACATGCAACAGGTTGTTTCGGTTAATCTGCTTTGGAGTCCGTCAAAAACTTAAAATTTCAACACATACAAAGAGACTGAAATTTGTTCAAAGATCTGAGGACACGAAAAAGTTCAGGACTGCCTGTTTTTCTCGTGACATCTAATATCCTTGTCACAAAGAACTAAGGTTGGACCAAAGGAGTCCGTATAAGTCTATTGAATCATTGATTAACACTGAAATTAGATTTATAAACATAGTGCTTATATTGATTGCTTGCAACGATAGTGTTCTCTGGTTAGATTTTTTATGATTTGAAGACTGTTTGCTCCTACGTGGAATGTCTTGAAAAAATTATTGCTTGAGGATTTAAGGACAGAATTCAAATGTAAATAGTATCACTAGTAGTAAATGCAAGTATGCTGCTATACTGCAACCTGAGAAAACAATGACATGGTTATTGATGAATACACGGTTATAATGGTTCGCAAGAGTATGGAAAGAAGATCAATAACGAGTACCTGTAGAATGTTTATCCCTAATCTCTTTTAGCTAATATGAGTACTTAGTCCCTCTCTTGTTCATACCTTTTCTGAGGGACTTAGAGAGGCTTCCTTTGTCTCTGATTAGCGAATAGCAAAACAGGAAGCTATCAATAGCGTCCTGTATTCTTTCTGGGCTATACTTCGTTTTAAACCATTAACCTAACCATGATACTTTCTAGTCCCTGCATTTTTCTGCACGGTCCAACACAGAGAAGTTAAAAGGGAAAGAACCTACTTTAGTACTTACCTGTTGGGAAGTTTGAACAACACTTTCTGGTAGTTGAAGTCTACCTAAGTGCTAAGCCCAGGAGAAATGAACCAGGACTAGAAACATAGATGACATTATCAAATTAACCAATGTACATGTCTAAGGTATTAAAATTCAAAACTGAAGCACACATGAAGGTAAGTTTCAGTATTAAATCTGAATCCCCAACGGAGCTAGAAAGCATAAACCCCGTAAATGGTAGTGCTACAAATAATGCCGGTACCATTCAGATTTCCCTAAAAGCTATCAAATCATTACTTTCATGATCAAAATCGTCTAAGTGGGTGAATCTGTGAGACTGTGACATAGGAGGGATGTTCAAGAGCAGAGCCAAAAATAGATTTAGCCAAAAAATAAAAGGCACATTCGTACCCAAAATCGCCACCACCGTAACGAATTCTTCTGTTTGGGAAATCTGATATATAAAGTACATTAAGTATAACAAACACAACAAAATAAAATCTTTCACATCTTTTAATACTTCAAAGCAAAACATTCAAGAAAATCTAACCATGAATAGTAAATTGATTATTATGAAAACTGGAACTTACAAAATCAAAATGGAAGAAATCATCTAGACAACAAAGTGAACAACAACCCAACTGACATCCCTGCAATACACAAAAAGGAAACCCCACGAATCCTCACAAAGAAGATATTCAAATTTTTAGCAACCTGGAGAGTTAAAGTCAAAATCTGCAACCTTCCTAGCTCCTCCATCTTTTTAAAGAAGTACATTGGCTTCAATGATTGCCTCAACATAAAAGCCAAAGTAAATGGAAATCCGAATGCCACAAAACTTTGAATTGACACCTCAGTCATTGGTGTCGCTTTAGTAACATAAGATATCCAAGCTCCAACTCCAAGTTGAACAAGACCCAGAACAACAACAGCTCTGCTCAGACCATAAATATTCTTCATCATACTTTCCAAAACCTCTCTGGTCTCATTGGCTAAAGCTGAGAGGTCTCTTTCTACAGTTGGCCCCTCAATTTCTTGGTGTTTGAAATCAGGGTTTTCGCTGGGAACCTCATTTCGGTTATGGGGTTTATCAGAATCTGATGGTGAATTTGAACTTGAAAAATATCTGGGTTTTTGGTTCGACAACCCAATAAAGCTATGATTTTTTAGCTCGATATCCAAATTAGAACGCATGGGTTTCGTAAAAATAGAATATTTTTGCTTGAAATCATGGTTTTGAACTGGATTTTGGGCTTTTCCAACATTTGATGCGGAAAAAATACTGTGGTTTTTAATCGGTGAGCAAAGATCTTTGGTTTTAATACTAGAACATAATCTAATAAATTTGAGAGTGAGATTTGAGGGTTTTGTATCTGTTAGTGATTGGCGTTCAAGAATGAAGGAACGCGTAGGAGAGCTAGACAAGGTATTAGAGAGATTGAAATTAGGGTTTAAGGGTTGTCGAGAAAGGGTGGAATTAGAATCAAGGGTAGGATAGTTTTGGGGTTTATGGGAGAAGAAAAGGGAGGAAACAGATGAAGAAGGAGTGGGTTTCAGCAACTTAGGAGAGAGTCTACGCGAGATCACCATGGAAGCCATGTTCGTGTGTCCTAGAACCAGAAATCTTGTCGTGACAGTGGCTATAGATTTGTAACGCAGAGAAAGAGAAACCTGGGAGCGACGAGGGTTATTGGAATGGCTTTTGACTTTTGAGGAGATTAAAGACAGGTCAAAAGTCGCGGCTGGGCCAATTTGGCCTATTTAAACTTGAGGCCATGCCCAATTCAAAACTTCCATTTCATAGCTTCTATTTTTTGCTTTCAAAAGACTTTCAACGTTTAACAAATGCCTTTTCAATTCACTTACGAGGAAAAGCCCTCAAAGCATGTTTCTCTTTGGGTTTTTAAGAAAAACCAGGGCCAAGCTCTTACATTACTTGACACGTGACAGCAAAATTCTACCAGATACCAAGGGATTGATTCTTGTTTTCCATTTGTCAGTCCCAAATAATGTTCCAATTTGAGTAATTTTACCTTTCAGTTTTGGCTTAGATGGGAAAGATTGTGAACAATTCTTATCAGTATTAATTAATGGTATTCCTTGGTTTAGAACTTTCGATTTCTTGAATTGCATCAGACGATCATCGTAATGCACACAATGAAACAATAATCAAGAACTCGAGTACTACTTAATATAATTACCCAGCAAGGAGTACTATTGCTGTTATAGTATTTTGCTAAAATACGTAACAAACATCCAATATTCTAGCTACGAAATGTCCTATGCAGCATCACCCCACATACATAAAACATGAGAGAAAAGCCCATTGCAGCAACCGAAGCTGAATAACTGACAGCTGATCCGGTAGCCATTGCTGGCATGGGAGCCAAAGCATCATCGTAAGCAAGGACTGTGATTTTTGGGCACACCAGTGCTGCAAGAAGCACAAGAGAAGCAACAAGAGATAACTTGATAGAGGCCATAATCAAAACTGCTAGCTGCCCAAAACAACACCAGAAATATATAGTACCTCTGCTAGCGCAATGCGGGTTATTACTTACGAATAGACCTTGTAGTTTATAGGGGGATATTGTTGGTGAGCCCATTTCAGCTCCCAGTGCATGGCTCACACGTGTGTACCAATATTAGTCCAGGGGGCACCAGATTGTCATTCGTGTGAATGGTTGATGATGCCACGTTATGGAATGCAACCTTTTTTGTGTATGAAATGTACACCTTTGTGATCTTTGATTACAAGACAGCAGAGATGGAATGGAAATCAAAGCACAATCTTCGATCTGTGTGCCTGCTCTCTGCGCCAAATCATGGGCTCATCCTTGCACAATATTGTTGTTTTGCAATTTGCCAACGCATGCATACGAAAATGCTAAATGATATGATTATCACACTATCTATGCATGTACTGTCTTTTCATCAAACGAATAATTAAGCAGCTATATTCCATCTTCCTATTATTGCAACACTAGCTATGTTCTACTTCACCTTGATTTTATTTAAGAGTTTTAAGGTAGTTTGTTTTCTTTTCATCTAAAGTTGCACCTTAGAATTGAGAGTGAAATGTTGTAGTATAAAGAAAGTTTGCTAAAGCTGTATTTATTTGGAGGAAAACATTTTTCAGGTACTTGTTTTCCTTATTTTTTAATATTTGTTTCTCGTTTAGAAAAAAAATCAATGAAAAATAATTTTTAGTCAACGAAAAATGATAGAGTATTTTTGAAAAAATATTTTCCCAATTTAAAAAGAAGAAAACATTTTCCTTTTCACAAGTCTGTCTCGTTCTTGTGTTATTTGCTTTTCTCTCGATATATTTTAAAATTGTTTTCTCTATTTTTTTATTTAAAATATATAAATTTAATTTTTAATTATTCCTTATTATTTATTATTTAATTTTTTTCTCTATTTCTACCGATATTTGATTTTTTGATTTATAGATACATTAAATATTTTAAAAAAACCATTTTTACATCTTAAAAGTATTTTTATAATAAATATTTCAATAATTTATCTTTATTTTTTTACTATTATCTCAAACACCAATTACACTATACTTAAATGATTATTACAAGACTATAATTTTTTATAAAAAAAATTAAAATTAATTAATTCATTAATAAATACATTATTTTCTTAACACTATTCATTTGAAACTAAATCAATAATTTCTAATTTTAATTAGTCGTAACATTTTGTTGTAATTGCAATGAATAATTAGTTACAAATTATTCCAACATTAATATTTTGAAATCAAATGAATAATTATCTACAAATGATGACTAATAATTTATAAAATTATTTTTTAAACTGAATTATCAGTTCAATTTCTAAAAAAAAAAAAGAATTCTTAATTGAGTTACCAAAATAACAATCCTAGGATTACTTAGAAATGTTTTTTTTTTTAACTAAATGTAAATATTGACTTGATTTTGTCCTAAATAATTTTGATGAATTGGTTTGATGGTTAAAAAAATACATTTTATTTTTTTGAATTAAAATTTTAGAGTCATTGTTTATGAAAATTTATTAATTTTTCTAAATGTATCTTATATTGTGAAATTATGAATATGTCTTTTTAAAGTTTTCTCGAAACTTATTAATGTAACAATCACATAATGTTTTTGTATTTTAATTTTCTATATCAAAGAAACGTTGAAATATATTTTTCAGTAATTTTTTCATTTAATTGCGAAACGGCATAAAATATTTTTTTGAAAAACAATTTTCTGAAAAATGACTTCGTCGATAATTGATTGTTTTCTGTCAAAAAGAAGTTTTGATTTACTGTATGCATTAATGATTCCTGGCTGAGAATCTAAGAATGGAGGGGATAATAATTTTTTTCCACACAGACCGCCAATTCAAGAAATAATAACACCTACTAACATACATGGATCTGACAAAATAATTTTTTTAATCAACAATGTGAACAAACCATGATAAGGTAGAAGGTTTTATGATGCTTAGAAACAATTAGAAAAATAGAAATTCAAATAAACCAAATCAAAATCTGCTAGAATACAAAAAAATTTGGCCGAATACCATTAATTAAACTCCACAACTCTCTACTAACTCTCTACTATTGTGATAAAACATTCAAATATTTTATTTGATGAATAAAGGATAGATGAAACAGACACTAAAGGGGCCTTGTATAGGCTGCTGAGAGTTAATATCCACTTAGGAAATGGCTAGCAGCAACATTTTTTGAAATGGCAATAAATTTTGAAGATTGAACAAAGCCGTACGTAGCTACAAGTTATAAAATTCAGATTTTGATAAATAATACGTTGAAGATTAACCACGAGCTGCTACAATTTCCAAATACTGACTTGAAAAAAAGTAGTCTAATGTCCAACATCTTCTTAAAAAATAATTTGAATTGGCCCCCTGTTAGCTGATAGTATGCATGCATAGCTGTATAAAGGTGTCAGATGGAGCTAATTAATCACTAAGTGTGTGTTTGACTTAGCTGTTGGTTGTAGCTGAGATCAGATAAAAAAATATTTAGTTAACATGTGCAATTCAAAGGGGACATATATGAAAATTAATTAAAAAAATTAAGATAAGATGTTTTATATAAAAATTATTTAACTATTAAATACGTGTATTCAATCTATCATTAAGATATTTATATCATATTATTTGTGTTTTGAGTGTCTGGAGCAAAACAAGCTTCAAACGGCAGCGCAAACTTGTGCCCCGAACGGGGCTCTAAGGGAGAAATTAATTTCCAAAGCACGAGTAATAATTTACTGTTTTCGAAATTAATTACAAAATGAATCTAAGAAATCAAAACAATATATAGCCATGTCAACCCAAATACCCAAGACTCAAAATCGCCATGAAAAGAGAGAAAAGTTAGAGCACAAAACTATATGACACATGCAGTGACATTAATTCAAAATGACATGCACTAAAAATTAATAAACCTCCACCAAAAGGTTCTTTTATTGCGTTTTAAAAAATATGATCAAATAATAATAAAACAAATCAGAAAGAGGGGAAATTCTCCGCGGTTCTTTGCTTGGAAAAAGAAATTCTAACTAGATAATGCTAGAACATCTTGATAAATCCTTTTATTCTCCTCTCTCTGTTGAAACTCCTTCCCCATCTCTTTCTTTAATTGGTCTGAGCGCTGAACAATTTATTGCAAGTACAATGCAATGAATGAAGCAAGGGAGGCACCCACCAATGAACCAACAACTGGCAAGCTAGCTGAGGCACCACTTGTTGGGGATGGGGCAGGAGCAGCAACCTCATCAGCCATCACTGCACTCACGGAGGCAGCAGCGAAGATGATAGCACAGGCAATCTTCTTCATTTCCATTGCTAGGTGTCTTTTCAGGCAGTGAACGGCAAAATAACCTCGAGATATCGATAGAAAAAACTTTGCCGAACCTGCCTTTGATATGGAGCTTGCAGCCTGAGAAATATTGGTTGCATTGTGGAGGGTATATATAGGGGTTGGGTTGAGCTGTTCTTGGAAGATAACAGCTGTTTTTGTGCCCTGATTTAGGTCAAACTTATAAATTAGAGGCTCATTTTTCGTTTGTTAGTGGCAAATTAAGCTATTGTTTTGAGCGAGTCTTGTGCTGTAGTTGGTTAATAATGATATGGCAAAGAGAAAATTTAGCAATTTTAATAGAAATCCTTTTTCTTCTTCTTTTTTTTTTTTTTTTTTTTTTTTTTTTTTGTATTAAAAGGGGGTACATAGCCCTTCCATTCCATGTATTTGGACATATGATGTTACACTATTTGAATTATGCGCTAGATAGGTTACTAGTAAAATTCGGTTTTTAAAGCAGTCTTAGTCCTTGACCAAGTTAATAAGTTTTCCATATTCAATACGCTTAATTGTAAGGATACAAGTTTTTTTTCATTTTGGTTAAAGTAATGCTAAGTATGAGTAAATTATAAATTAATCCTTTTTAAAATGAATTAATTAGTCTTTTTTTCTAAAACTAATTATTTAATTAATTAAACATAGTTAATTATATTTAATTTAATATTATTTTATTTAAAAATGTTTTTTTTCATCAATTCTTCTATATTGTTACTAATTTTTTTCCTTTTTTATTTCAATAAAAAAATAAAATAAATTGAAAAAGTACAAAAATAATTAAATTATGATTTTTTTAAAAAATATAAAGATTAAATAATTAATTTTTAAAACAAAAAAATAGTAATTAATTCATTTCTTAAAATTAAAAGAACTAATTTATAATTTACTTTTATATATATATCAGTTAACGGGAACCGAAAACAAAAAGAATATTGCAACTTATCTTCAATGATCAGTGACCTGTTTTTGTTCCACGTGCTTCCCAGCTAGCTGGTGGCCAGGAGTTGCGACTTGTTAGTATTTTATATATATATATATATATATATATATATATATATATATATATATATATATATATAATGAATTATTTTTGAGTTAGGTTTTGCATCAATAATTAAATCTAAATGGAACGAGCCTAACTTTTGGTAAATCATTAAATTATTTTTTAAATCAAATCAATTCAAATTTAATATCATTAAAAAATAATTATAGTTAATTATCTATAAATAATAATAAAAATTTTAATTTTGATCAAATTAAAAAAATTTTCATACCACTAAACCAACTATATTCATTGATTATTCTCACGAGACTCTTGAGTTATTAATTGACTTTTTTTTCTTTACAAAAATAGCAAAACAAATTAATTTATTTTTTTTAATTTTAAAAACTAAATTAGTTTTATTGATTGTTGATTATGTTTAATTTAATATTATTTTATTTCATATTATTTTTTTTTAAAAAAAATTATCGATCTTTCATATTATTTACTTTGTTTTTTTGGTTTTACATTCCTTAAAATAAAACACAAAATAAATTGAAAAATATAATGAATATGAAAAAAGGACTAATGAGTTAGTTTAAAAATTAAAAAAAAAATCGTTTAATTTATTTTACAAAACTAGAAGGATTAATTTATAAATTACACAAAAAAACAAAAAGAAAAGAAAAGAAAAACTACAATGCCGACATTGGTTATATGGGTTAGATATAATATGATGTCTATAAAGCTATTAAATATATTATTATAAATTCATTCTAAAAAATATATCTTATTTGAATTTGCTGATTTTTTTTTCGTAGTTTCTTCAAATTTTAATCAATTACCAAGCGCCAACATTTTATAGATACTGGCATTCCAGACTAACTTCAAACGAAAAGCTCCTACGGGGAAGAAAAACAAGAAAAATGGAGTAGAGAAATGCCCCCCGAATAGGTTAAAGTAAAGAAATCTCGATTGTCGTAGGAAAAAAAGAAAAAGAAAAAAATATCAGAACGGTTATTGGCGAACATCTTATCGTTCCCTCTAAACTTGTATTGCTGCTGGCAGAAGCAAAGGAAGAACCTCAGTAAGACAGACTCATCTTCCATCTGACAGTCGCCTTGACTTGTTGGTATCGTTTATACCTCTGGAGATGGTATGCAGTTGGAAACAGAAAATGGCATTTATAAATAAATAATTTACAATAATTTTCGCTCGTATTTTTCTACCTAAAAAAAAATATTATTTTCCCAAAATTAAACAAAAAACTCCTGGTTAAATTGATAAATCTTTTATGCTTTAATGTGATTGATTTGCGTATAGAGACGTCTATTGACAAACACGTTTGTTTTGTGACTGTCTTATCATGTAATATTTCGATGAAAAGTACGTGACCAAGGTTAAATAAACATGAGGCAAAAAAATAAAAGGTTTCACCCTTTCTCTCTCTAATAAGACATCCGCCTTTAAATAAAATTCTTGTTGAGCTATCGCCGTCCACTAACCAGCTCCGATAGCAGCTCTTTAATTCTTTTCTATTCTAACCTTTTGTTTCTTTCCCTCTTCTTTTCTTTTCTTTCCCTCGTACCTTGATCTTCCTTTCTCCTTCCTTATGCTCCTTTTCTCTTTAAGTTTTCTTCTGTCTTTGTTTTCAATCATTGTCCGTTTGTTTGGTTCTTTAATTTCTTTCTATCATTTTTTTTATTGTCATTCCGTGGATTTACTTGGACTAAAACAATTATATAAACTTAAAATCCATTAAAACCAAAAATAATAAAAAGGAATGACCATAAGAAAAATGAGAACGAGAAAGAAATTAAAGAAAGAAGGAAAAAAAAGGATTGTCACATGTTTAAAATATCAACAACCAATACATAATTATTGACAAAGAGAGACTCTAGAGTGACTGGGGTTTAGTAGAAGACTTCAAGGTATAAATAAATTATTACCTAATGTATTATTGGGCAATGCTAACTGCTAAGGGTGAGGGTAGTTGTTCTGTGCAGTTGCTTTGTACTCTCCTTCTCAGTTCTCAGTAAGCCACATGCATGATGCATCTTAAGAAACCCACGAACTTTTTTTAGCTGGAGTCCACGGTCTACCCTCTAGTTTTCTAGTAAGAAAAAAAGGAACAAGCACCATCCACAGTTTGAATTTTGACACGGCCCTTCTTGTTAAGAAAAGTACGTTTTGATATTTATTTCCAATTTTTTTATCGAGAGCCATAGCTCTAGGGCTCTAGACAACATAATTAACTAGTGCAAAATTTTGAGAAAGCTACCCCTTGATGTCTTCTTACAGTAGTTTCACACAAGCATCAGATACATTAGAAAAATATATGACACCACGAGGTAAAGAAAAAACAAAAGATCTAGTCAATCTGCTAATTTATTTGCTTCTCTGTAACCATTAGTGAAAAATATTTGTCATCTTTTTATTATAATCTCGTGAATCACTACAACCCGAATATTATAAGAACTCATCTTTCTTATCAATGACTGAATTAACGGAATAGCCAATAAAGAATCAATCTCAACAAAGATATATCGATAACACATATTTCAAATCATCTTTAGCCTAATAAAGATACCTTATAACTCTACTCATAAAACAGAACACGAAACAATATTATAGAAAAAACAAAATAATCAACATCAATTCGAATCCCTAAAGACCCCACCTATTGTCAAGATCCTCGAATTCACCCGCACCCGCACCGCCCCCATCAGTGTTAAGTTTCGTCTAATCCACAGTTGGATAATGCCAATTAATCAATTTCTCATGCCGAGACTATGCTTTTCTGCCGAAGTTATCCATCATTGTCACACTATGTATAATATGCGCAGCAAAGTGAAAGATAGTGCTTATCGGACTGCTAGGCATCTCATACTTGTCATCAAACAAACTCTTGTTCCGCCATGACCACAAGAACCAGTAGCATGTCCCAAACCAAATACACCATCGAATTGCACGCATAGGAAGTGACATGTTGCTGCTTAGGTTGGTCTCAAACCAATCCCGTAAGCCTAAAGTAAAGAAGTTTTGAAACTTTCGATCAGCCTCACATTCCACCCACAGTTGCTGAGCAAAAAGGTAGTCTCAAAGAACATGCATAATTTCGAAAACAGAAACACGTATCGAGCATCAACTATCAGTGCTCTAATGGCGACATTGTCTTTGAGCATTAGTTAGTAAACAGTCTTATGTAGCCAGTCATAGAAAACTACGGATCCTTTAGGGGCCACTCCATCTCCAGATTAGACTCCAAAATCTTGAATTACTGCCAATGCCAGTGTGTGTAATAGCTGAATAGACTGAGCTAATGGAAAAAAACCATCACTAGTGTAAGCCCAGCACAGGTTATTTTCTCCCCTGTCAAACCTGGGTGGAAAGGATCTCGTAATTCTCAAAACAATAGATGCTGAAAGTTTTTGCGCAAATTTTTCTCACATCCAAAATCCTTCATTAGAGATATATTGGTTTACAGTATCATTCAAATAGATTTTCGAAACCAAAGTAGTAGTTAACTCCTGTAAAGGACACAGACTTGACAGCCACCTATCCTTTTAGAACTTCACCCAATTCTTTTATATTAGCTTGCAAGAAAGGTGAGCTCTTTTTCTAGTTTTTTTAATATATATATATATATTAAAAAAAAGTTAAAGCAGAGAATTCAAATGAAATAGTGGAAACAACTGATAATTCATTTTACAAAACCTTTCAGTATTGATTGAAAAACTGATATAATCTGACAATTTGAAGGCTCCAGGAGCCACCATTATGATTGACACATGAACACACAAGTGCTTCCTTTTCTTTATGTTACACTTAGCATAAGCTCGACAGATAAAACCACTATTGGATTATAGATGGGTGGATGCATCAATGCCATATAGAGAAATACACTGTGAGAGGAATGTATAGCCTAAAGGGTTAGACGTTGCCCTACCAACCAAAAAAATATAGATAGTATATTTAATAAATAAAGTCACGTTTCTAAAATTATTTTTGTCTAGCTAGCATCAACAATGATATTATTATACTTGTCCAATAGTTATTTGTCAAAATTAAAACTATTTATCTCCCAACTGATATTAAAAGTTGTTGGCAATCTCATTCCATGTAAATGGATAAGTTTATTAGATGTATAAACAACCAAAACACCTAAAATTAATAGTTTCAAATATCTTTATTTAATACTATTGTTCATCATTTTCTTCATTTCTATATTGTAGTCTTCTTAACGGATACTCTCATTCTTTACACTAATTCTAATCATCAAAGGATTTTCTATCTAATTAGAGAAATTTGTTTTGCACATACTCCACAATCACCACCAATTAACAATCATTACTATCTAAACAATGGTTGTGAAAGGATCACATTATATTTAGAGGTCAAGCAAACTTCATTAAAAATCACTCAAATTGAGAGAAGAAAATTTCGCAACACTTACCAATGCGAATATTATTAGGAATAATTACATTATGAGTATACAAATTTTTAATTTTTTTTTGTTTAATTACATTAATTTTTTAAAATGTCAATTAAATGCTTCGTCAATTTTTTTCATTAATCGATAACATATTCGTTACTCTCAAAATACCAAATTATAATTTTACTTTTTTTTTTTAATTGAGTACGTGAAATTTAATTTTATTTATTTGAGTACATCAATTTTTTCAAAATTATCAAATCAAGCACTTTCATCATTTCTTTCATTAACAAATAACGTATTCGAATAAAAAAATTATAATTTTATGCTCTTTTTGTTGAAGAGAACTTTCTTCGTAAATTATTCTACCATTTCAAAATTTAACAAAAAATTAAAAAATATTATTTTTTTAGTTATAAAATTCCAAACTAAACTCGACTAAGTTGATGTTAAAAAAAATTGATTAGTTTAAGAGTAAAAATTAAAGGAAAACACAAATGATTTATTTTGATAAAAAAATCTCACGTTTGTGTTTTTTTTTCAACTTTTACGTTCAAAACTTAACTCGAAGTTTTTTTTTTAATAGTAAGTCTAACTCGGTTTAGTTTGAGATTTTATAACTAAAAGGTAATTTTTTTTTAATCCTTTGTCAAATTTTAAAATGGTAGAATAGCTTAGGGAGAAAGTTCCTTGCAACAAAAAAAAGGACAAAAATATAAGTTGATATTCGGACGTGTCATTAATTAATAAAAAAATTGACATAAGTACTTGATTGATATTTTTTAAAAAATAGATGTACTCAAAAGAAAAAAAATTAACATTCATGTACTCCTTCGAGGAATAGAAATAAAATCATAATTTGGTATTATGAAAGTAATGAACACGTATTTGTCTTTAAATTTTTAATTATATTTTATTTATTTTTAAAATTTTTTCAAATATTCAATATGTCATTTTAACAAAATTTTCCGACTATAAATTTTGTTTTGACCAATATGTCTTTTACTAAAATACAAAAATAAATAAATAAACACAAAAACAATTAAAGTCACATGACTTATATATTTTTTATTTCTAAAGTCTTTATTTTTTTATTTAAATAGAGAGTATTTTGATTTTAAAAAAATGATTTAACTGAAAAAATTAATCAAAAAGATATATTGAATATTTCAAACATTTTCGATGTAAAATATGATATAATTAAAAATTTAAAAACATATGATATACTTTGAGTATTATATAAAAATAAATGAATATATTTATCATTTATAAATTTCATATTAATTTTAAAACAAAGATACAATAGTAATTACTAGTTGCTTGTCCACGCTAACCTGCGAGTCCGGTAAAAATAATTATTTTAAAATATAAAATTTTTAATATTTTTTTATAAATTTTTTACTTAAAAAAAACATAAATCATTTTTCTTTATGGATTGATTTTAAAATAAAAATATATAATAATTTTAACTAAAATATTAATCAAGAATTTAAAAAAAATTAAAAATATAATTTTCATAATATTGTATTCCAAAAAATAAATTTATAAAAAAAAATAAAAAAAATCATTATTTAATGTTAATGAGAAGATTAATTTTTAAAATTATTCGTGCAATGCTACGGGTAGATAGAACAAAATCATTTAAATTTTTTTCATTATTTATTATTTAATCATTACAATTTTTTGTGTGTTTTTTATAAATTTTTTTCTTTAAAAAAATGATTTATTCTTCTTTATGTAAGGATTCTTAAATAAAAATTTATAATAATTTAAATCTAAAATATTAATTAAGAATTCAAAAGAAAATACTTTAAAATTATTTTTTTATAAAAATGTATCAAAAAATAAAATCATAATTAATGTATAGACTTGCATAAAAATTAACTAATGAAAAAATAAAAATTTATTCTTATTTAATGTTGGTGAGAAGATTATTTTTTTAAAATATATACATTAGATCTATATATGTTTATTTACAAATTAATCAACAAAATTAGCATAAAAAACTATATTTTAATAATTGGTTGGTTCCTTTAAAAAATTATTTTAATTATTTTATTACAAATAAATTTGTTATATAATGTTAAAAAAATATTCATAGAAAATAATTTATATTATGTTGAAAGATGTATAGTTAATTTTTAATAAAATTAATGATTCAATATTTTTTTTATATTTCTTGACCGTAAATAGTGAACTAAGATAAATTATTTGAAATACACTT